TGATAATGGGCACCGGTGAAAAAGGCCCCGCGTTATGAGGCCTACCCTACGGTAGACTTGAGACCACGAATACAGCAAATGGAGGGAGACACGCACCGGAAGGGCCACCGGATTTCACGGCAAGCCTAGCAGGACGAAAGAAGCCGGCAGACCCCCCGGGGGACCCCTCTCAGGGAGCGGTGAAGACCAATTCGGATTAACCAGGGGTGGCGACCAGCGTGAAAGCGGATATAGCGGCCGGAGTGGCAGCGGGCGTAGCAGCCGGCGCGGCAGCGGACGCGGCGACGGGCGCGGCGGCGGGCGCGGCGGCGGGCGCGGCGGCGGGCGCGGCGGTGGCGCACGTGCCCGCTCGCTCGCGCTCCGCGCGCTCCAGCTCCCGTGTGTACTCGGACTTCAAGTTGATCTGCCCGTCGAGGCTGCCGTCGATGTGCATGGTGAACCGGACGGTGGCCGCGTCGATGTGCTGGGCGTGTCCCATCAGCGAGCTGATGAAGGACGCCTCGCGCATCGTCAGCGGCTCGCCGCCCTTCATGCACCGCTCAGCATCGCGGAGGCGGCTAGCACTGTCGCGCTTGAATGCCGGCATTCAAGCGATCTCTGTTTCGGGAGGACGTGAGAGTGCCTTGTGACCGACGCGCTTTCTCTTTTAGTGCGCGCCGCCGCCGCGAAATCGCCGCGGATCCTGTGAGCAGAAAGTCTGGAGGCACTTTCACGCTCAATCGCCAGCGGCTGTCACCTCCCTCGACGATCGATGGCGTCGTCCGCGTTGACGCCGGCCGTGCATCATCCTCGCGCATCGCAGCTGACGTGGGCTCACTCGTGCTGTTCCTGCGCACGCCTCGAGCGTGCGCTCTCCTCGCCACACATCACAGCCATCGAGTCGGACATCATCATGGCAGCCGGCCGGCCCGTGATGGCACATCCGCCGGCGCGCAGCTCGGATCTGACCTTCGAGGCGTTCCTCGACGCTTGCATCGCGGACGGCCACCGCCACCTGAAGCTGGACTTCAAGGTTTGGGCTGCGGTCGAGCCGTGCCTGGAGTTGCTGGCGGCGCGCAAGCTGCAGCTGCTCTCAAACGGGCAGGCGCGCAGCCGCTGGGAGTGAGTGGGTGGTTGTGGACGGGACAGACCCACGGGCCCGTC